AGAGAGAGAAAGAGAGAGAGAGAGAGAGAGAGAGAGAGAGAGAGTGAGAAGGATTAGACACAGCACGTACTTCGTTATCAAAGGTTTGCATGGGTGGCAGTATCCCCATGTTATGGCGAGCTTCCTCTAAGCTGTTTAAAGGTGTTCCACGCGTGGCACGTGAATTTCTCAAGTTATGATTTAGTATCCGGCGGGAGCGTGAAGCCGGCGGTAGAGAAAGAGGTAGTTAACTTGATGTGGAAACATCGAAACATGAAAGGGTACGAAGAAGATGGACGACGCGAGGTAAAAGGAGACAGGGCGCGGATGGGATCGGACAGGTGCCGGAGATTCGCGGGCAATTAGCGTGGAAACGAACAAAGCGTAGGGAATAATAATTCTAATGCAACAGGGGATCGGGTAAAACGGTTTGAAATCTGGCGTGCTGGTTTGGAAAAAGCGAAACAAACAAAGGAAATCCAGGGTACGGAGAAGAAAAGCTGCTAAAGGTGAAAGTACAAATGACAAACGAAAGGGGAACAATAGGGCAGAGGGAAAAGCGGGGCGAGAGAAATAATAAACGTGAAACGGGGAAATAGGTAGCCGTGGAAAACGTACAAATCGGGGCCGGACAAAGCTAATGAAAAAATCTAATATGCAGTAGAAAAGGAGCATACGTGCGCAGACAGAGTAGAGCTGTAGGGAGAGAAGAGGACAAGTGGGCACGGAATAGAGGGAGGAGCGGAAAGGGAACAGAAACCGGAAGAGAAAGAGCTGGCAGGTGGAAGAGGATGAGGGTGGAGGTCGAGAGGAGGAGTAACTTCCTAACAAGGCGGTTAGTTGCGGCTTAGCAACGCTATGAACGCGAAATATTGCTAGCTGGCGCGCTCCTACGTTCGGCCCTTCTCTCTCTCTCTCTCTCTCTCCCTCTCTCTCTCTTTCTCTCCTCTGTCTGTCGCTCTCTCTCTCTCTTTCTCTCTCTTCTCTGTCTGTCGCTCTCTCTCTCTCTCTCTTTCTCTTTCTCTCTCTTCTCTGTCTGTCGCTCTCTCTCTCTCTCTTTCTCTCTGTATTTCTCTCGCTTGCTCTCTGCTCTCCTTTCGCCTCTCTGCCGATCTATCCTCTCTGCAAGCTGCAGCTGTCTGTGTTCCCTAGGCGCTTAATATCGAAATACTGCTACGCGATGCCCCGCAACTTCGATATTTCGATAATTGATTTCTCCTTGATCTACCACACAAACGAATTATCATCTTACCTGTATGCAAAGGCTTGCGGCGAGGATTTCATGAGAGAAATCCTGCTGCTCTGAAAGAAGGGTGGAACATTGAGAAGCATCTCTGAAATTTTTCGTTTACGAATTCTTGTATCGTAAAGTGTTAACGGAGGAACGTAAATTTTAATTGTTACCTACAATTTTTGCTAAATTTACCAATTCCTTGTCAAAACTGGTATTAAAATGTGTCCCAGATTTTAATACGTTTTGTCAAACCATCATCACTGACAGAATGTTTACGCTTTTAAGTTGATTTTTAGAGACCCTCAGTCTAGCCGTCGGTATTAAGAAGACAATATAGTTATATATAAATACAGTTATTATATAAATACAATGTTTGTTGTAAGATCGCTTAAATTTTGAAAATTGATAAACGTGTTCTATTGATTTCTACATCTAGGAATTTTGCTAAATCGCCAAGTTTTTCCTGGCAAGTAAAAATAATATCTCGTAGTCTTTTAGATCGCGTCAGTATCTAACCGGAACATATGGTACAAATTTTGTTTCGATACAGTCATATTATCTCTGCTTTATATCCAACAAAATCTTTACCACGCGCATAATATTTGCTGCATTGTTACCGCTAGCAATTTAGCTGATAATCTTTATAAATTGTTGTTTCGCGTAACGTACTTCAGAAGCAAGCAGACCAGCCCAAGGCAGGCTTGACAATAGGCTGGGTAGCTACTATATTAAAATAACCCGAAATATAGCACCATCAATACACAAATCTATTATTAAGCGTAGAATTTGGAATCCTTCGTTAGACAATATGGTAGAAATAGAGTATTATGAAATGTTATTAAGAAAGGGACCTAACTTGGATGCTATCCGTTACGGTCGACGTTTAATTCGTGCACCGAAACACTTAGTTGACTTGGTTAAACAGACTGTATATGGTTTGGCTCCCGCATCATTTAATGTTGGGGCCATTTATGAATATTGTCGTTCAGCAAATTGTCGAGTTTTCGTTAATGGTGTGTCAGTCATGTGTGAAGAAAAGATGAATGCGGATCCCCTGTATATTTTATCACATGCGATTTATTTATTAACCAGCCTGTTTGTAAAGTTCTTATTATAAAACTTGCTCCAATAATATAACTTATTCAAGCGTTTTCCACGAAAGAGTCTCGGAACTTTGCAGAATTGCAAAATAAGAAAGCGGTCTCACTTTGACCGCGGTAGGTTTAGTGTTAACCCTTTCGCTACGGGCGGATTCTCCGTCGCGGTACTTCTGCTGAACAGAGCGCTGCGACATCACTGCACGCTACGCGACGGCGATCGTCAGCGGAAGTCGGTACTCCGCGGCAGTCGGCGGAGAACCTAAGCTGTTTGAATTGAATGAATTTTTCGAACGAAAAAATTTTTCTCCAAAGGGTATTTAAAAATAAAGGGTATTCCAGGGTATTTTATAACGTCTTAGCATGCGCTCTTTAATTTACAGTATGAGAGGAAATAACATTATGCAATATAATGCATCTTATGGAAAGCCACTATAGTGGTCCGTAGTACCTCAGTGGCACCATATGGAAAGCCACTATAGTGGTCCGTAGTACCTCAGTGGCACCATATGGAAAGCCACTATAGTGGTCCGTAGTACCTCAGTGGCACCAAATGGAAAGGCACTATAGTGGTCCGTAGTACCTCAGTGGCACCATATGGAAAGCCACTATAGTGGTCCGTAGTACCTCAGTGGCACCATATGGAAAGCCACTATAGTGGTCCGTAGTAGCGAAAGGGTTAAATTAGTAAACTAGTTCGTGCAGTGTACACGCGTAAATCTATCTACGGATAGATTTCCGTAAAGAGTGCTCCTTCCAAACCTAGCGGTAATTTGAATAAAGTATAACAAATGGAACATTTTACCGTAAAAAGTCAGTACGCAGAACGTGCAAACGTTGCACTGCAGAATAAGTTAAGCCAGTAGTATCTGTTCTACCGTACATTTCGTTAATTCGCAGGTGACTAACGGCGTGTCGTTGTTTTTTTTGTTCCAGGTACGTAATTCAAATGGATTTCTCGTGTTCTTGCCGGCCATCAATCGCCGCGTGAGTAAATGGATGAAGTTATTAATTAATTAAACCGTTAGCTACGTTTTCCGAGAAGCCACGAGACTCCCGCCGACAAAAGGAAATACATACCTCTCTCGGCTGTCCATATTTCTGTTTGTCCATCGTTCGATCGTCAAGCCGCTAACCATTATCCCCTGCCGCGTAACGTGCAAACATCACGATCGATTAGTTTCAATTACAAAAATATCTATCCGCGGGTACTTTGTACGGTATGTTAAGGTCGCGTGCATCGGAGCCACTAGACACGACGTCGCCACGTATTTCTAAATTTGCATCTTCGAGTCGATAAGACATGCAACCAGAGGGGGCTGAAGTTGCGGGTTCGCGGCTTCCATGGAAGACTAATCTGCGACACATCGGAGCAGAACATTTTTCCACGCGATACGCCCGGTCACCTTACTTGTTAATGCGGCCATGGTACCGAATTTTTTACAGCAATTTTTCAGTTTTTAGACCCGAACCAACCGATTACCGCGTTTCCGTGACTTCCATTTAATAAGGCTTTTGATAGATTGATGCAGTCGTTGATAGCGTGTCCTGTTCGCTCGGAAGTTCGTGATTGTACACAGATTCGGCGATAAATGAATTTAATTATACTCTCAACGGGAAAATTAGAAACTGTTACTTTTTAGTGTTTGCACAAGATGATTTAGAACTAGTATCGGCATTTGGAAAGTCGTTCACGAACTAAAAGGTATGATAATGAAAGATATGGGAAATTATGAGTCCGACATTTCTTTAGTTCTCCGTGGGAATACAGAATGTTTTAATTATACAATGAGTGATTCGATGATAATACTTCATTAGTTTGATCAAAACATCTGTGCACTTTTTCAGGAAATTCAATGACTTGCGTTTTCCATTACCTTATTTGGAATTGGTGAAAATATCGTCAATTTTGTTCGACAAATTCTTAACTAATTGTAGCGTATTTACTTTAATGTTAATATTAATGTTTACACCAGGTCATGATATAAAGATAAATGCAAATGCATTGGTCAGAATTTATGACATCTTTACCAGTGCAGTTATCTACTACAACGTGCGACAAATGCATCATCGACCATGACAATAATTTATGATACTACGTAGCTAGTACTGTGGCGAACAACTAGCGCGTCTGTTGCTCTATATAAAGTCATTGGATCCTCAATGAGAATCATTTCGAGCACATTTAAGAATTTGAGGCATCGATTGTCCAAAATATTACAAAAATCGTAACAAGATAAAGGAAAAATGAGTCAAAACATATTTTAAAAGTTCATTCAGATTGCAATAATTAATTCGAATCAGATTATTTTCGAACGTAACGAATATATTGATGAAGTTTATCGTTCGCTACGCAGGACAAGATTGATAAAACTTCAAGAGATCGTTCTACCTGCATTCGCTGATGTACAATAAGCGTTGCTTGACTTATGGACAGGGGTATAGGTATAGGTGACACCGATATCATAGAGCTTTCAACAACAAACTGCTAAACCGCGAGCGTTGCAATCATGTTATATCCCATTATCCGCGAAAGTTTCCCATTACGAACTACATTTACTTATGCTATATCCGCCGTGGTAAATTCCGCGCAGATTTCAAGGAAATTGAAACGGCGCTGTTCAAATACTGAATAATTTCGAGACCCGCGTTCGTTAGCACAGTTTTCTGATGTTGAGCCGCCGAACGCGCCGCGATATATCTCGCTGCCTCGCGTATGAATCATCCGCGCTATCACCGTCGATAGTCAAGAATCGTTTCCAGGAAACAACGTGTATCCTAACGACTTCCAAACAAAGGTGGGGAAAAAAGGCTGACAAAAACGCGAAATCGACATCGAAAGAAAAAGTGATTAAGCAGAGAGACGAGTGGCCAGATAAGGGGGCTAATTTAGCTTCGTGTATGACAGGGACGCGTGTGCACTCGATAGCGCATATACGGCGTACGCGATCATTAAGCACGAACGGTGATAATATCGAGGAAGCTTGTGTTGCCGGCCCGGGCACCCGTCGTCATTGTACGCCGCGCGGTGCCGGGCCGTGACGTCATTGGTGGCCACTCCTTTGTATGATCCCGATTAACAATTGTACATAGCTTGGGAGCACACACGCGGGCCACATGAAGTTCTTGCGTTCGTGTAATAGACCGTGACGAGGACCTAACCTTACCGGCTTGGATTATACGCGTCGAGGGTACTTAGGGAACGGGCAGCCCTTTGCTTGCCAAGGGCGTGTAGAACGCTGCCGTGTAGACATTCTTTTGTTTGCTCGAGGAGAACGTTGCCCGTGCTGAACGGAACAGACAGAGAGGACTCGGTCGTCTGCAGTTGACCGGCTATCAAATTTCGCTACCTGTGTTTACAATTAGACCGATCTATTTATATCGTTAAAAAGGAAACACCTCCGCCCGTTGCCGTAGGAACACTGTTTGTTGTGATTAACCTGCACTGTCGGCACCTATTTCGCGCCCACGCCCGCGGCGGAAAATATGGGACACCCTTTCAAGCGGCAGAACTTTTTCTCAAGTCGAACCGAACGACTCGAATTCTCTTGAGACGTTAGAGGGACCGATTCGCTTTTTTAGATCTAAAATATCGCAGTTGCTTGGATTGATAAACAATGTAACAAACTCGCAACTCGACAAATTCAGAATTTAAATTCAATTATAATAGGGTTAGAATTTAACACGTTCCCTGCCGCGTGGGGCGTATACGCCCCACGCTGAACTTTCCGTTCAAGCCATTTGGTATTATCATTGTAAAATGAAGAATTTTTTAAAAATTCATTATGGAGTCAGTTATGGACATCTTAATACTATTGCTGATGCCCTCATTTAATCGTGGGGCGTATACGCCCCACGCGGCGTGATGGGCAGTTTTTCTTTACTGTAACTTGTTTTAACTGCATTTCTCTTATTCCGATCAGTCATTTATTCGCGTGTCGTTGACACAATACTTACTGCTTCACTGAAGCTGGGATTGATTTATAGTTCTATAGTACTGTAAAAGTTGTAACATTCTGCGATAGTTGTGTGGATAAACCACACTTATGTTTGCCATGTTTTAACAAAGTTCATCGTAACATCCCTTTGTAATCGCATACAAACTTGAATTTAACTAAAATGTTATATTTTAAACTAATATAGGCATGATAAAAAAAATTATATGTGAGGATGCAACTCGCTTGGCATAATAATGATCAGCCAGGTATTTGTTAAAGTAATTCCTAGAAAAATAAATTTATTGGTTTGCTGTGTTATGCATGTTAAACTATACAACCTTTCCTTGATAATTATGATTTTTGCACTATTTTAATTATTGTAAAGCATACGCCAGAAACAAAATAATACAAATGTAAAGCGTGGGGCGCATACGCCCCACGCGGCTTGAACGG